CGAAAATGGCCTTCAGAAAGTTTTGATCATCTTTCATGTTAAATAATTTTTGCAAGGCTGACAGAGGTTGGCATGGGTCCCCCAGACTCAGTGCTTCTCAAGTGTAACATACGATAGTGTTCTTAGCCAGGCAGTGTTCCTAGCGTGCTCAACTGTACGCTGATATGCTGGGAAGGTATGGTTAAGAATAAAACATATTCTGGCTTACTATTAATGATAATGAGCGACGTTTTAAGGCATTTCACTACGAAAAATTCAATAAGGCACTGCTTAGAGTTGATTTTAGTATAAAATAATACAAGATTTAAGAACATGTGTGGTAGTTAAATAGTGAAATCCTACTTTAATTTTAGTTTCCTTTTTCTTTAAAGCTGTCAGAGGAAAACTCAGTGAAAGTTACAGATGTTGGCATATCTATAGCAGTAGCAGACATTACTGGTACCATCGCTGGAAGCCCTGCCTACATCGCACCAGAAGTGTTCCACTCTAAGGTGTATGACAGCAAAGCAGACATCTACAGTCTTGGTATAATGTTGTGGGAGATCTGGTACGGAAAGCAGGCGTTTTCAAAAATTGTATCCTTGAACCTTCACGATTTCTTCGGGGAGGTGGATAGCGGGTGTCGTCCAGAACTTTTAAAAGATCACGTGGATCCTCCTCCTTGTTGGGAAGAACTAATGAAGGCTTGTTGGGAGGCGATGCCAGAGAAGCGTCCTTCAGCTAAGCAATGCCATGACCGAGTTTTAGATTTTTTTTGAGGACTGATAAAAATGACGTCAAACGTTTTTGCTGTTGTAAATGATGCATAAAATCAAATTAAATAAAGTTAAAATAACAAGTACTACTAGCTAGAAAACCCGCTCAGAAAACTATTCTAAGCCACGTACTCCTCGAAAATCCAAGGCCGCTCTTTTATACACCAGGTGTGCATTAATGGCGAATTTAGATGATAAAATAGATAGGTGATAACAAGCTGTTTAAAACAAAAGACAAACGTTTGGAGCTTACAGAACTTAGTCAAATATGATTGTCGTTGTGCGTGCTGTGTAAGATACACTTCTTTAATTAGGCATGTCCAGGGCGGGGTATATGTTGCATACAGGTAATACAAAAAGGATGACATCAGCAAAGCGCAGTAGGCAATACCGTGACCCATAGAAATATGGGATTATTAAAGGAACTCGAGTTTTGTATTTTAATGGTTTAGCAGAAAACAAATGCTCGAAAAGTGTTCATGATGCCAGCGCCAAGTTACGATCTTCGCTGGCGCGCCATTTTTCCAGAAGGTCAGATGCTGTTTGAGATCCTCTACGCTGGCCAAATGCGTATCTTGCTCCCTCTTTTTATCGATCTGCTTATTAGCATCCTCAGTCTTATTACAATTTATTGCGGCTCCATTTGGCTTAATGCAATGTTTACATCATTGCACCCAAAGCTCTTTCGATCCCGGTATTACTTATCGCGTTTTGCAAAAGTCAGCTGCTTTAAAATATCTGTATACGAGTTGCCATGCAGGTCAAGGGATTTAAATCTGCGAGTGGTTGTACACGGTTAACCAACATGGAGAAGTACTTTAATTTAGTGTGCTACAAGGTATTTTGAATAGTAATACTTAGCTCTCTATGTTTGTCCTATATTAGCCATCTTAAGGATTTTAATTTAATTTTAATTTCAAAAACTTATAAGGCGCAAATATCTATATAAATATATTCAAATGCGCTATAGGGAAAAAAAACAAACAAACAAAAACAAAACAAAACAATAATACTACTAATAATAAAAATTATGAATAATTATAATAGTAAAAATTGATAAAATAAGATGATAATATAGATATAGAATAGAAAAACTAATGGCTAAAAGTTAAAAAGATAAAATCTGTTAGCAAATTCTTAAAAATTATAAGCTGAAAATTATTTATAGTCTAGTAAGCTAAAAATACAATCTGATAATCTAAGTGGTACAAAATGCTGTTTTAAAAAGGTGAGTCTTCAACTTTCTCTTAAAAGTGTCAACTGAAATGGATTCCCTAATAAATCTTGGTACAGCATTCCATAGCTTAGGTGCAGCAAACAGAAAGGCCCGTTCACCGAGATTTGCTTTGGGCTTAACATTCGGATAACTAAGTAGGGTACTGTCGCTAGAACTTCTTAAATTATATTTAGATACAGGCTTAGGAGTAATTAAAAATCTTAAGTATGAAGGTGCTGAGCCCTTAAAAATCTTAAAAACAATCAACAGGATTTTAAATTCAATTCTGAACTTTACAGGCA